TTTTTAATTATTCTTTTTTACTTGTTTCAGGGATTTCAAATCATTTTATATAGTAGATAATGGAAGTCCGAACTAGTGAAATTCACAAAAAAGAATCATCAGAGGCATCGTGGGGGCCAGACCTGATACATGCTTTGAATCAATTTTCTCAAAGATAGGCATTGCAACAATGCATTGTCTATACATATTTTAAATTACTTTGACTATAAAAACACCAAAGAATTCCATTCTTAAAAATAGTCTTCTACACAGGTACAGTACATCATACATACAATCGATTTATAGAGTTGTTCAGGAGCAGAGTATACTCCCTGTATAAATATTTAGAATCTAGGGCATTTTATTTTTTGGAAGAGGTTTTAGAAAAGTGACCAAATATGTTGTGGTTAGGAAATTTTTTTATGTATCTTGTATACTTTTTACGTATCGACTTTTTTTATACGTTTATTATAGGATAAATTCTAAATCTATATTGTTTTCTGACTGGTCCTATAAGTTATATATTCTGTAGTACTTTTTGTACTAACCTCGGTAACGAATTATTCTATTCCAAATTAAATAAGATTTTTCATACCATAATTATATAAAAAATTGCTTGTGCAACACATAAAAATCAGATACTCTATTTACATACATTTCTCTGTGAAATTTAGAAAGAATGAAAACGTTGATTTATTATTTGTTTCAGCTAGTCATCAGAGTGTTTTAGATGTGTTAAGTGATGTACTGGAGACTTTCTTGCAGAAGATTTGTCACAAAATTGTAGATGCAGTTGAAGATGAAGATCGAGAACACACTTCTGGTTTTCCTGTTAGTATATATTAATTGAAGCCTCAGGATAGGGAGGGGGGAGGGAGAGAGTTAGAGAGAAACAGGGAGGGTGGTTGGGAGGGAGAGCGGGTGGGACAGAGAGAGAATCGGGGTGGGGGGAGGGAGAGAACTGCTTGAAGGGTAGTTGGGTCCAAAGTTAGTACTACTCAAACTCGACCAGAAAAGGTCAGTTTCTTACTTAGTTTATTTGGTGAGTGATCTTTCAGGTCAGATGGCGAAGGTGAAACTTAGCTAAACACTGAAAATCTAATTCAGGCACAAAGTATAGGTGTAATGTTGTTTCATCATCTTACAGAGATGGCACGCATTGTCTCTTGACAGTCCAAGACTCTCCATATAATGATTGAAAATGACGTGTGACCTGTAAGAAGGATTGTTACACAACGAAGGTTTGGTAACATTTCGAAGGCTGTATAAATGTGAGCGTTCCAGAGTTTTTCATAACTAGATATTTCACTTCCTCTGAAAATGGACTAATTTCACCATTGAAGGAAAGTGGAGTTACATCATCCAGATTCTTGAGGGGCAATAGGCAATAGGAGGCGGAAAAACTACCCCCGCATATGACACATAATAACTATATTTGGTGTGATGTTGAATATTTTAACATTATAATTTTTTTATGCTCATCCAAATTTCTCTCTGCTTTTGCAATCAGTATTATCAAATATAATTTCAGTATGAACATGTTGATTCAATTATATATTATATTATTTGATTGATTGAGGCTTTGTAGCTTATGCTTTATTTTATTGTCTTTGTCCTTGTGAGTGTTTCCCAATGTTTCAGGGACATGATTGATTGGCCAAGATTGTACCAAGATTGACTAATTTATAAGCCTTTATATCCCTGATGGATGCCAATCACTTATGTTAGTGAGACCTTGATAAACACCCAAAACGTTCAATAATCCTGAGAAAATGGCCATGAAATTATATTATTTATGTTTCAATTTCAGAATGTTATTGAGAAAGTTCTTACAGAAATAGGAATGGGAGGTGTTAAAGGACTTAATGATTATTATCAGAATCGGGTGGTGAAATATGTAAATGTCCTCAAAAAGAGATGCAAGGAACTGAATGATAATTATGCAGCTCTATTAGTTCCTAAAAGTCCATCAAATTCGGATAAACTCACCAAGTACGTAAAACAAAGTCAAGCGAAGGGAGATGACATTGGCATTTTGAATTTTATATTTAGATATCTCTAAAGTTGATATTATCAAGCATTGTATAAACCAGTGTTTTATACTATAGTATGAAGATGCCTTGAAGATTTGTGATTCAAGATGTAACAGGCATCTTAAGGATGTCTGCTATTCCTGAAAGGGTATCTTAAAGACGTTTCAAAGATAATTGTTGTTATAAATAATGGTATCTTCAAGATATCTTTCAAATGCATGCATGCATTTCGAAATCATCTTGAAGATGTGACTGATAGGGTAATTCGAGGAGAGATGGACACAATATTCTCTAGCGGTTATTTAAGGAGCTATTAACATTTCGTCCGCTGCTAGTTGGAGGAGCAGGCGCGGCCATTGTTGTAGAGTCGTTTCATAAGTCGTTGTGTCTATATTTTTTATTATTTACAAAACACTGTCAAGGTAAGGTCTCAAAATTTTTCGCTCATATTTTTAAAGATGTGTTACTTTTTCGTTTTTACTGTTTTTTGAATAATTATGCTTTGGTATAACTAGGATGGGGCTGGATAATAATGTTAAATACCCTGAAGTCTCTTAACGAACATGTAAACAATATGGCCGAGGTGCCCATCTCTCCTCAACAAAAAGGAGATATGGGCATCAAAGACACGAGGATAGTTGGGCAGGTGCCCATCTATCCTCGATAACTGAGTTAGATTATATTTTGATATTTTTCTTTTAGATGCCAACGGAAGGGAAACACACGGGCTTCCTGGACTGAGGAATCTCTGCAGGAGGCCATTGCCAACAGACTCAAAAGTGGAATAAAATCAAAAGGTTCATTAGGGCCGCCAAGTCAACTTGGCGCAGAAGTGGAAACGAAAATTGTCAACCATATCAAAAAATTACAAGCGAGAGGGTTCGCACCAGACCGAAGGGCTGTGCGTGAAATGGCCTTCAGGATTACGCAGGCACTTCAAATTAAAAATTCCTTCAGTGAGGATACTGGTCTTGCAGGTTTTCCCTGGTTTAATTTGTTTATGCGCAGAAACCCAAGCTTAAGAATAAGGCAGGCGGAGGGCGTTTCAAAGGCCCGAGCAACAGGTCTCAACAAAAAAGATGTGAGTGACTACTTTGATTTGCTTTACTCCACCATGGAGAAGTTCGATTTACTGGGCAAGCCTTCTAACATCTACAACATGGACGAGACTGGATTGTCTTTGAATAACAAGCCAGGAAAAGTAGTGGCGGCGAAGGGTGCAAAAAACGTGCCATCACTCACATCCGGAGAAAGGGGTGAAACTATCACAGTTGTAACCAGTTGTAACGCAGAAGGAACTTTTCTTCCGCCATTTTGCATTTTCAAGGGGAAGAATCGCAAGGAGGAGTGGGGGGACGGTATGCCCCCAGGGTCCGATTATGCAATGAGTGCAAAGTCGGCCTACGTTAACTCAGAAATCTTCAAGGAATGGCTTGCTTCCCACTTCATTCCACGAAAACCTGTAGAAAAAGTGCTCCTAATTTTAGATGGTCACAAAACCCATACTGATGCTTGAATTTGCAGAAGAAAATGATATTATATTGCTGGGATTCCCAAGTCACACCACACACTTCCTTCAGCCCTTGGACAGAAGTTTCTTCAAATCTCTGAAAAGTCATTGGAACTGTGTGTGCAACACTTTTATGCGCAACAACCCCGCACGGAAAATTAACAGAGCCGTGTTTGGGCAGTTGTTGGGGCAAGCGTGGAATAAGGCTGCTACTGTTGAAACCGGTGCCAACGGATTTAAAGCGACGGGAATACACCCTTTAAACCGTGACGCCATCCCTGATTATGCATTTCTGGGTGATGATGGCACAAATGAAGACATATCAAGAACTGTTGATTCTGAGTCCAATATGACTAATTTGGGCATTCAAAGTCGTGCTATATCAGTGACCTCCAGTGGAATTGACTCCAAGTCAAATTTGCATATTTCAGGATCCCAAAGTGTATTCGTGCAGGTCACACCAGCAAAATTGCTCATGGATATTTCTCCAATACCATCAGTAATGACAGGTCAAGCCGAAAAACTAAGAGTTTGTGTCAAACAGCTGGCTAAAATTTTTAACTCTGACCAAAGCATAAACGAGCTGAAAGATAAGGCTCTAAAGAAAGAAATGAGACAAAAGGAAGTTGGAGAAAGGAAAAGAAAGAGAGCTTTCAACAAAGAAATTAAACAAAAGGAAGTTGAAGAAAAAGAGAGGGATATAGCTTTGAAGAGAGAAATTAAGGAAAAGCAAGCGATGGAGAAAGGAAATAAAGAGAAAAAAAGGAGAAGAAAACTTTCTTATCAGTACGACGATAATGGGACGAAGAAGTTGAGGAAATTAAAGAAGATGAGCCAAAAGAGTTGCAAGAGGGCACGTTTGTGTACTGAGAGTTTCTGGAAAAATGGCCTACTGTTTGTTCGTTGCCAAAATAATTTGCAGAAGTTCAGAAGGCTTGAAAGTCAAATTTTATAAAAAAGTAGAGAAGTTAATGAAATTTAAGGAAACCGACGAGACGAATTATGCAGATGAAGAGGACGTTGTCATAGTGCTGTCAAAACCGATCGAGGCAAGCTCAGCAAGATATCAGAACATGATAGGTTTTAGTAACGATTTATCTGAATTTTCTAATGTTCTTGGATAACTTGTTTCTTTTAATAAAACAGCCTAGCACATTTAGGCCTCATTTTGAATTGTTCTTTGGTTAATTCTCTTTCATTATACCTATACCTGATAATACATTGTCTTTCGATATTTTGCCTATTGGAAAACTAGAGGGATACAATTAATTCAATTGAATTAGGTGGAAATTGTGATTTCCAGCGAAAAAGTCACAAAAAATTGTCGCTTAGTGTAACTTAAAGCTATGCCCATCTCTCCTTACCGGTGAATTTGTTGGTGCCCGACTCTCCTCGCAAGGCGAGGAGAGATGGACAAAGACAAGGGTGAGAATTTTTCCTAATAGATCCCAAATAAATCAATTTCGACGTATGCACTACATTGTGTGTTATAATCTCTATACTAACATATTTCAACAGAGGTTAGCAAATAGTCTGCATACTAACGGTGACACCATTCGTTTTTCAAAACTTTGCCCATCTCTTCTCGAATTACTCTACATTCCAAACGAATCTTCCAGTAATTTTTTCAAATGCATTTTAATTTATGTAACTTTCATTAGAATCTATTAGAACCTAGTAGCCCTATGAATTTTGTATACCTATCTATACCTATGTGTATACCTATCTATAATAGGTACCTTCAAAATAGATTAGAAACAGGTAATATTAATAATAAACAAGCTTTATTGTTAGAAGAATTAATCTTATTGAGGAAGCCTGTGGTGAATAAGATAAAAATGTGTACAAGCATGTGTACAAAAATGAGTCTATATTATTTAAAATCTATACAAATATTTATATAGAGTGGTCCAACGAAAAGTATGCACCTTGCTTTCCTCCTTTTTTTGTAACTCAACGCAAAAATGCTCGGACGCAAAAATGCTCGGACAGGTCAATTTTGCTTTTGAAGGGGACACATTTTAGATGTATTTTTCTACCTGTGCCTTCAACCTCCTAGCGAGGGTGAGTAACAACCCTAAAATTTTAAATGGAAAGTGGGGTCGAGTGATATATCATTTGAAAGGGCACAAAATTCTCTTTCTAATGATACCTAATTTGTTGTATTTCACTCAAACATGTAGGTATTATGAAGAAAAACAAAGAGGAGAAAAGCAAGGTGCATACTTTTCGTTGGACCACTCTATATGTACATACACACACACACACATATATACATACGAAAATATGCTAAAAACAGATGTTTATCACAAAGAAAATGTCCGCATGTGTAAAATGTGGTGAAGAATATAAAATCAGGAGAAAAATTACACAAAACATAAAAATAGGATAAGTTATTGCAAATGTTAGATGGAACTTGTAATTTAATTTGACACTAACATCAACTTGGGTTACGATGTATTTCAGAAAAAGTGTAAGTAGAAATTATCATCTTGAAATTTATCCAAACTATAATAGAGGCTATCAGAGAGTAAAACTTTGATTTCTTTTTTTAATTATGAGGGACTTTCTATAAATTTAACGTCGTTTGGCAGGTGGTTGAATATTTTTAGGCCATTGTAGATTATTGAGCTTTTAGTAATTGTCGAGTTTGGTATAGGCAGTCTGATCAGTGGAATAGTTAGAGTATACTAAAGAAAATTATTCTCTATGCTTGTTTATCAAACAAGCCGTTTTTACCATGAAAATCGCATAAATTGTCAAAATATTATTTCTGATGGATACAGGCCTACAGAAATCTTGTTGTTTCATTTTGAAGAGATAACGTCCTTCAATAAATGAAGAGCCATGCTATCTGTGTAAACATAAATTCTATAACACAATCGAAAGTTTTTTTGGTTTAATTTGTTGTTTTTCTTCCTATGAAATTGATTTTTGAATTCGTTTTATCAGCTCAAAGATCATCTCAAGTGTAAACACACTTGAGATGTCTAATAAAGTGAATTTCAAACACTATTTTTGTTGAATATTACTGGAGTTTTTTCCCAACACCAAATCGTTATTTTTAACACCTCGACACCTCTAAACACGATTTGGTGTTGGGAAAAAACTCCAGTAATATTCATTACTGCACCAAAGGTTCCAAACAGTGCATCATAACTATTTTTGTTTTTTATATTTGAAAAAAAAATAATAACTCGAAGATTTTTATTAGTTGCTAAGAGAAACTAAACAATAGTACAGAATAACTATCTAACAAAATAAGACAACCAACACAAGACACCACTTAAACGAGTAAAGTGCCGCAGACGCATCATCGGCCATGATGATGCTGTATTTATAAATAAGAATACAAGTGTATATTTATATTTGAAAGAAAATGTTACCTATACATTGGTTAATATAGCAGACTGAAAATATATGGCACAAACTAAATATACTTGAGATGACTTTTACTGGATATCTCAAAGATATCTAAAACATATGTTTTTAAGGTATCCTTTATTCGTTATAAGACATTCAAATGTGTTAAAGATTTGAAAAAGATATCTCGGAGATATTTGGTACCATATGGAAGGGTCAGAAGTGATAATTATGAATTTGAGACAGTGATATTTGTAAAATTGAATTTAAGTTACTGGAACTGTATTTCTATTTTGGAATAACTTTTTTCAGTGTTGTTAGAGTGAAAGTGGAAGAGGATGAAGATCTTATTGAACTGGATAATCCAGAAGTCCACTTTGCAGCATTTGATGGGGAAACACCTTCAGTTTTGGAAACTGGATTACAACTTTTGAATAGCTTGGAAGCCGAAGAGAAGTGAGTACAAAAAAAAAAAACGAATTGCTTCTAACTGAAAACCCCATTTTTAAAGCATTGGAAATTGTCGATTTGAGTGGGTGTATAATGTGTATATGACCCTCTGCTAGAGTGACCTATGTATTTGAGAATGCAGCTGTTGTTTTTTAACCTTGATGGTAAAACAACAGCAATGGAAAAATTTTACGAGCAATTTTTAATGTCACACCATCACATGGTGGTGTATCTACCTAATTATAACTTGATAAGTTTTGTATTAGTATTGAAACAGACAATAATTTTCAGGAAAAACCTTTTTTAGCTTTGTACTTTCCAGAAGTAACAAATTAGAGTTTATTTTCAGATAGCATAAAAAATAACAATTTGAAAACAAAAAATTTAATGACAAACGTTTTTTTTGGAGAATTATATTCATATTAGCATTATTTCATTTCTAATAATTGTTTTTGTTCTAGTTTACAAACTCTAGAAGATACCACAGAAGGAGATATAAGTTCAGCTTCTCCTGGTGTTTCGATGCCACCTGAATCTGAAGTTTGCAATTTATCTCCATTCACGAAAAAGAAACGTTTCAAATAAGTGTCTTACTTCGATTCTTATAATAAGGATAGAGATGAAAACAAATGATTTATGTGATTTGGAAGATTATCCTAGGAATATCCATTCATCAATATTTTGATCATTATTTTGAGTCATTACAATTCTCTCACATTAGAAAAATCTGTGAAATATGTGCTGTAGACCATATAACCTGTGATAAAAGGTTGGAAATTAATTTGATTCATTCTGAAGTTCAGACTTAATGTAAAAATAATAATACAATATTGAAATTTTTGACTGCAATAAATTCTTCATAAAAATGTTCCATGATTTTTTTGAAAATGTTCCAAAATCTGTACGTAAATTAACCACTTGATAGTACCTCTAGCTGGTTTCGATGGAATGGTATGACCTGGAGTTCATCATCAACATCAGGAAAACTACAAAAGTGAAAATGTGTATATAAAAAATAATAGACTTGACCTTGAAAAATAAGATTAGTTGGCCCTGGAAATTGAGATTTATTCATGATATTTGGTGTCCTAATAGACTTTTTGAATATCTACCTTACACAAAAAGAAACATTCCAATCGGTTGAAAAATGTAAGTTTTATAAGGGTGCTTCCATCTTAAATGGGTCAACACTCTGTTCGTTTGTACTTTCTTCCCAATTTTGGCAAACAAGTGTTGCCTATCTTTGCACTTGGCTACACCAAGCTGATGAAGCCAATAGCTAGAAACACTTGTCCGCGGTTTGCTATCAATTTTTCTTGGGTGCTGTTGATCATAGACATTCAATAACACCCCTTGAAGATCTATGGAAAACACATTTGCCTCACACCAGAACAAAAATGTTGTTTCTCAGCGCGTGTTTCGTTAACTAAGTTAGCAGTGGAAAAATTCGAATGAATTATATATTTTTTATTGAAATGTCAAAAACTTATAATATTGGATAGTCTAAGAACAATTCATCAACACTATGGTACACTCGGCTTAAAGGTATTGAAAAAATATTGATTTGATGGAGAGAGATTATTTGACTTAATTTAGAAAAATGTAACTTTGGCATGAAATATATAATAATTTATCAAGTACAGTGTATTTCAATTTTGCATCATTTATATTAAAACATGAAAAATTTGAGCTTTAATCAAATAAAAGAGTCACTCTTTTTTTCTGCTTCAATCACTTGCTTCCACAAAATGAATTTTTCTGGCTGCAGCTGGCTATGAAACTTAAGATGTGTTGTGAGAGTTGTTTTCCTGTGGTCGTTTACTAATATATTTTGTTCTACAAGTTCTCAGCGCCCTAGAGTTTCTGAACTTCAGTTGGATCAAAGATATTTCCATTTGCCACTAACCCTATGAGTGGAAACTTTCGAAGATTAACTATGTATGAACAAGGATTTGACGAGATCTTATCTGTTAACTGATTCCTAGCAAGATATGGAAGTCCATCAGAAATGCACAATAACCCTCTCCGATCAGTGGAGGGCCGAATAATCGCTACATAGTATAAAACAAAGTCGCTCCCTACTGTCTGTCCCAATGTATATTAGATGTTTAAGACTAAGCATCGGTTTTTTTAATAGATAGAGTGATTCAAGAGGAAAGTTTATATGTATATAACATGCATAATATAGTAGAGAAACACTGATAATTTCAGAGCTTTCTAATGTGACGTCCTAAACAAACACATTTATTGCGGTTACACTGCAAACGCTGGCTGAACTCCACTAGGATAGATCAAAATAATGTACTACAGCATGTACACCTTAAAAAGGTCTACAAAAAAGTCCTCGATGGTATGTCAATCTTAGAGATAACCCACAATAACAATTTTTTATCCTTTACATTTTACAAGAAATAATGGCGAAGCGATTTTAAGCAATACAGCATTATTCATTTTCCATTAAGTACATCAAGTGCATTTAATATAGGTTAATGTGGCCCCTTATAGCATGTAATTTAAATGAATATTTTCGAAAAAATTACAGATTTGAAATGCAGGGACAAAGCGGTTGCGGCGGTACCGGCGGGGTTTGATTGGTATTCTATACTTTTTTTAATGTGTTGTATTTTTGTGTCAAGAAAGATCAAGAAAGGCAAAGGTTGAAATTTATTGAAAATCTTTGATATGTATGAATACAAAATATAATTGAAAAAACACTTTACTTCCATGACACATTCTACAAAAGATACAAAAATCACATTGTTTTACAATAAATGAACAATACTTATTAATTCCTAATGAAAATTATTGGCTCACAATTGAAAAGTTTAATATGATTTGAAATGTCTTTTTCATACAAAACTGCCTAACAAACAGTTAATTATTTTGCAAATATTGTTGTGATGTATGTGCGTTCTTACATATAAAATAATACTTTTCAAAATATCATATTCAATTTGAAACTCGACATATAGCAACCAGTCACACATATTGGGAGATTATGTTTTTACTAAGAGTAGAAATTTCCTCCTTAAGTAGGAGGGAGTATTAGAAAGCTAATTAAATGATCAGTAGTAATTACATGAATTGATATCACTTTAAAGCAAGTCATTAATGAATATTTCAATATTTGAATCATTTGCTTTATTCCTAAAGTAATAAAATTTAAAGAGAGTATATAGATGGACGGAAAAACTCTGGCTACACCACATACTATCGACTTGACTTTAGTTTCAATTTGTATGGCACTTTATGAAAAATAAGACTAGAAAGCAATTCAAACTGAGGGACTCTGAAACTCAATAAGAGTATCACTCAACTCTAGCACAATTTTAAACTAAAGTAAAAGTCAAAGATTGGTGGGTTAAAATTAAAATGACCAATTGAAATGGAATTCAGTTCTAACATATGAAAAATTGGCCTACAACTCGATTGACATGGCATATTCATTTTATCAATAGGGTACAACTAACAACCAATTAATCAATTCACTTTTTTACAGAAAGTGGCCTTTGTACAAAAATGGTTGTTTTGTTGGGATCAGAATGTTCATAAGAAATAGTGTACTTACACAATATAATGCTAAGCAAATATCTTGAGTTGGGTACAGTTATTACCTACTTTCATGAGGTGTAGAGATATTTTTGATCAATGGACAGATCATTTCTGACATATTTCAGGTTCCATACTGAAATAGATTTTGTGTCAAATCAAAAATTAATTTTCTTGTGAAAAGATATTTCAAATCAGTTAATAAATGTTGCTTAGTTTAGAATACTTTGAATACAGGTTTTTCAATTAACATCAACATTAGAGTTAGAAATGGTGTCACTGACAACTTCTTTACTTGTTTCGTTAAACGTTTTGATCATAACGCTTCTTACTTCCTCCATTAGTTCTTCCAAATTATCCATGGTATAATCTTTAGTTTCTATCTGCGGTAGAGCAGTGATGATAATGTTTCCTGAAATTGTATTTTTTATTTCATAAACAAAAAAAAAGAATATAGTTTAACACATAGCGGTTTCAGGTTAATTGCTGAACCGATTCATGTTAATCCTTTCAGAAATACATTTTTAGTAAAACTATTTGGGGATACAGGTTTTTAAAATCTTATACATTGAACAAAATTCGATTTATTATAAAGTTATCAAGTTTCACGATGAGTAACCAAATGCTTCAAAAAACTTCAATGAACAAAAATTTGAAAAATATTGCTTTTAAACTGTATGTATGTATCTGTTTTTGTGTATAAGAGTGTGTGTTATATGTTCTCTGATGTGTGTATTTATGTGTATGATGTTTATAATCGTTTTTGAGACCCTCTGAAAGTATATTCAAGTTTCAGTTCTGATTAATTTTTTTGTTCTTCTGTTCATACTTAGTTATGTAATAGTTTTGAATTATTGTTTTTTTCCTATTATAAACATGTATGTCTCTTGGAAAAATAAGTCATTATTTTAATTATTATTCAGATATTGAAACTCCAATTGATTTAGAACTTATTTAGGTGGATATTATAAGTACACAATGAAACCAATATATGGAAAAAATTACAGTGGCTGTTGAAAATTTCTGGTTTGTCTTGTCACATTGTAAAGCATAATCAAAGTTCCTTTGAGAGCTTTATACTTTATACAATTATGTTACAGTTAGTATTGAATTATTGATTTTTTTCCTGCTATGTTCCTTGGGAAAATAAATAAATCGTTATCGTTTTTTTATTAAGGATGTGATGAATTAAGTTTGGGTTGAAGTTGTTATTTATGACAATTTGTTTCAGTAGATTCAATTCCTTATTAAAATTCTATGAGGATATTGTAATGCTATTCGCACATATCATTTTTTATAAAATCATTTTGCATGTACTTTTATAAGAAAAATTTTCTTTGTGTTGCAACCAAATTATTTTTGCACAAATACCACAGTTATTTAAATTAATGTGAACGGATAAACAACTCAGATAAAAAATACCTCATTATAGATGTAAATAAAATAATCAGTATGATAATAACATGTTTGAAACCACATATAATTTATTCAACAGATGCAAATGATGTTTTGTTACGGTCACTTACCACAGTCAAACCGTCTTGCGTTATCATCTAGAAAGTAGTATCTGCTGTAAACTAATGGTATAATGGGTATTTTTTTCGAAATGGCCATGTGAAAAGCACCCTTTTTGAAAGGATGAATTTTTCCATTATTTCTTCTGGTTCCTTCAGGAAAAACCCAAAGTTTGATCTGAAAAAAAAAGCCATTGATTAGATCAATGTAGTTTTCAGTCTTCGAGAGGGAATGATATGATATTGTGATTGATTTGATTCCCTATAAATAATTGGAGTTAGATATTGCATCTCTAGCAAAATTCTGACCACATACTATGAAAGCGGTCATTTATTTACATTGAGAAGAAACTTGTTGGAAAATGATCTGATAGTAAGTTGTTCACCAAAAGGCGCAGACCTATTAATATATGTGACGAAAGATGTCTCTTTATTTTTATTATGCCGTATGCCCTGAGATACTCTGTACAGTAAATGTAACAGCTTTCAAACCTGCAATGAAGTTCAGTAATTGCTGCTCCACAACTACTATAAAGAATATTTTTATTCATCTAAATATTGCCATTTTCAAAATTAATTAAAACGTGAATTGATACAGGAAGGTTCGTCCAAAAAGTCTACAATTTACGGTGCTGATAGTGTTATCGATTTAGACCAAATGAGTATTCAAGAAAAGATAGCAAACTGGAAAATTGAAGAAACGGGTATTAACACCGATTTGCCGACGGCAAATAATTTCATTACAATGACTGCTGATAATTTCAACCAGATCTGTGATGTATTTAAGCAGAACTCCAACAAATCAAAAAGTTCCGAACGATCAGATAATACAAAAACAAATTTGCCCACTTTTGATGGAAATCCAGAAGGCTGGCCGTTGTTTTTCAGTCAGTTCGAGCGTTCCACTAATCTTTTCAATATTTGTGAAGACGAAAATATTATGCGTCTGCAAAGATGCCTTAAAGGGAGAGCCAGAGAAGCAGTGCAACCACTCCTTATCGCCCCTAAAAATGTAACGAAAATAATTGAAATCTTGAAAATAACATTCGGTAGACCAGAATTCATTGTTTCCAATTTGATAGAAAAAGTTCGACGAGCCACTCATCCAAACGAGGGAAGATTTGAAACGTACCTGCCATTTTCAAACGTTATCGAAAATTTTGTTACAACTATGGAACTATTTCAAAATACTGGACACATGACGAATCCATCAATATTAAATGAAATTATCATGAAATTACCTCCATTTCTAAGACTCAAATGGGCTGAAGAATCCACTTTAGAAGAAACCATCACTTTAAAAACATTTTCACTATGGATGCGCTGTAGCTGCGTCAAGTTGTGCTGATTTCAACAGTTATAGTTATCCTGAAAAACGATTTGAACAAGACAAATTTCAAAGCAGGAAAAATATAAATGTATTTTCTACAAAAAAATATGAGAAATGTCCCAACTGCCAGAATAATCATATTTTGAAGATTGCCAAAACTTCAAAAAACTTGACATCGACCAAAAATGGAAATTTGTGACATCAAAGAAGCTTTGTTTTTACTGCCTAAAGTCAGGTCATAATATATATTCATGCAGGGTAAAACAAAAGTGTGGAATAGAAAATTGCCAAAAATTCCATAACAACATACTTCACAATCTTGATCATAAAAGTAAGGCGGCGGAAGGTTTAGTGAATAATGTTTCACTCTTGAACAAGGACGACGATCCAGACATTCATGTGGAAAAAATTAACTTTTTTCAAGAAGAAAATCCTACAATAATCCTTCGAATAATTCCCGTGAAACTAAAAGGACCCAATAAGGAAATTTATACATTTGCTTTGTTAGATGAAGCAGCGACAACAACAATGATAGACAGCAAAATCGCTCAAGAAATAGGATTAGACGGACCTGTAGAACCACTATGCTATCAGTGGCTCAACAACGTAACAAAAAATGAAGAAAATTCGAAGAAGGTGACTTTAGAGCTATCTGGAATAGAAGAAAACTCAAAAATGTATAAAATAAATGAAGTCAGAACAGTCAGCGGACTTTCACTTCCAAAGCAAACGATGTGGAAAATATGAGTAAAACCTACCCATACATCAAGGAAACGCCAGTTCTTTCTTTTTATGATGCCCAACCAACTATTCTTATTGGCCAAGACCAATGTGCCTTAACAATTGCCAGGAAAATTTATCATAGTTATTGGAATGCGCCTTTTATTTCTAAAACTCTACTTGGATGAGTAGTACATGGAAGATATCCACAAGGAAAGGTTCTTGAGAATTCTCTGATATTTCACGTTTGTTGTAAGTCTCAAGAAGAAGCAAATGAAGATATCCACAAACTGGTGAAAGATTCATTTAGAATTGAATATTTTGGAATAAAATGCATAGAAGAAAATGGTAGATCTAGAGAAGACGAAAGAGCTTTGAAAATCATGGAAAATACTATTCAACTAGTTGGAAATTATTTTGAGATTGGGCTCCTATGGAGAAACGAAAATGTTACATTACCAGACAGTAAACCTGTAGCACTGAATCGCCTCAAATGTATGGAGAGGAAAATGGATAAAAATAAGGAATTTGCAGCTGACTACTGTAGAAAAATTGAATAATATACTCAAAAAGGCTATATTCGAAAGCTGAGCGTTACTGAAGCTGAAAGAGAGGGCCAAAAAACTTGGTATTTACCACATTTTGGAGTGGTAAACCCCAACAAACCAGGCAAGCTGAGATTGGTATTTGATGCCGCAGCAAGGTCGAGTGGAACTAGCCTTAATGATCATCTTCTTCAAGGTCCAGACTTGTTAAAAAACTTAACAGCAATTATTTGGAAATTCCGTCAGAAGTTGATCGCCTTTTGTTCAGATATAAACGAGATGTTCCATCAAGTAAGAATCCGAGATGACGATTGCTCAGTTCAACGCTTTTTCTGGCGAGGTATGGATCGATCAAAATATCCTGATGTTTATGAAATGAAGGCCATGACATTCGGAGCGACATCTTCTCCCTGTATGGCTCAGTTTGTGAAGAATAAAAATGCTGAAGAACATTATCACATACTTTCCAAGGCAGCTAAAGCAATCATTGAAAAACATTATGTTGACGATTACTTAGATAGTGTAGAAACTGAAGAAGAAGCCGTCAAACTCATTTTGGAAGTAATAGAAATTCATGGAAAAGCAGGATTCAGCATTTGCAACTGGATCAGCAATTCTCAAAATGTTATTGACAAAATTCCCGAACATTTAAGATACAGAACTCAGAAAAATTTGAATTCATTTCTTCAACAACCTGCAGAAAGAGTACTAGGACTTTGGTGGAATCCTGAATCAGACAGTATTATATTTTCACTGAATAAAGGAAATATAGATTCTAAAATTCTAGGAAAAACCAAGGTACCAACGAAAAGGGAAGTTCTTAAATTGGTTATGTCCGTTTTTGATCCACTAGTCTTCCTATCACCAGTGGTTGTAAAATTCAAAATCTTTCTACAAGAACTCTGGAAAAAGGGAATCAGTTGGGATGATGAGATATCTGAAAATATGAATACCAAATGGATACAGTTATTGGAGAACTTCAACAACATCAAGGAAACATGCGTGCCCAGATGTTATGGTTGTCATTTATTTGCCAGTGAAGAAGTAGAACTACATGGTTTTTGTGACATTAGTGAGAGCATTTTCAGCTGTCGTTTATCTACGATTTATTCACGAAAATATAATCTATACATCATTTGTAAGTGCAAAAACTCGAGTAGCACCTATAAAACAAATAACAATACCCAGACTAGAGCTACAGGCTGCTGTAATGTTAAGTAGATTGATAAATTCTGTGAAAGAAAGTTTAGAAATCAACATATCAAAACTGAAAAACGATATATCGTGCTTTTCACCTGCATGAGTATTCGAGCAGTCCACTTGGAAATTTAACATTCGCTCGATACTGATAGTGCCATCATGGCCATCAGAAGATTCATTAGTCAACGGGGATATCCAAGAGAAATACATTCCGACAATGGCACCAATCTACGTTCTGCTGATCGAGAATTGATAGAAGCAATAAAAAACTTTGACTCAACAAAAATTTCGGAATTTTTATGCTTCAAATCTATAACGTGGAAATTTATACCGCCATCTTCACCTCACATGGGTGGAAGTTGGGAAAGACTTGTAAGATCGGTTAAAAATGTGCTGAAAGTTACATTAAAAGACAGACATCCCAAAGAAGAGGTACTTCAAACACTTATCACTTATCAAACACCAAGAGAATCAGAAGTATTCTTTATGAAACTGTTTTTTTTCCGGATGAAGATTTTGGAATTTGGAAAAGATATTTCGCAAGTTTTTGACAATGGGGTCTTATTGAAATGATAATTGGTTTCAGGGAACAATGTGGATGTTTACTATAGTGGGAAATGAGTAAAGTACGTTCTGTTTTTCAGAGAATGTTTTTGCGTTTGGCTAGAGTTCTATATAACTTTTGTTCTACTGATTTTGTTGGATTTTTTTTCAGTTTTTTGTGAACACTCATGGTTGTAACAGTGGAATATGTATTGTGTATTTCGTATTCATGGGACTCCATTGTAACTGTTGCATTACCCTTATCTGCGGGAATAATTTTTATATTGCTGTCGGATCTGAGAGATTTGAGTGCAATACTTCCAAATTTACTAAGATTACTTTTAACTTGATATGGTCGAGAAAGAACACTTTTGCAATCAGATCTGAAATCACTAGCAATTTCTGTAGGTAAATTCTGAGCTGTTGATTATATAACGGTAATTAGGTCCAAAGTTGAAACTATTTTTGCAATTCAATCAATTTGGCCTTCAGTGGTTTATATTATACAGTAAGTGTATGTTTTATTTATTTTTCAGATTGTGGAAGAATATATACCGAAAAAATCAGTAAGAAGTATTGAGCCCTCTACAAAAAATGTCTTTTAAAGAATGATCTTAGTATGTTGTGGAGCATTTTAGAATACTTAGGATTCACTGCAATGAAAAATTCTGCTTCAAAACATCCTAAAAACTTTAATATAATTCTTTGGGCATACGGATCACTAACCTTATTAAGATTGTTTCACACGATAGTATAAAATTAGATGAAACTATTCTCGCATCAATTATACTACAAGTCCACATTTTTTTAATATCAGAGACCAGAATTATGCTATCCCGC